TAGTCAAATCACCCCACACGTCCTCTCCAAGCTATAATGGACGCTCCCTATATTTTCTAATGTCCGTAAACATATCCCTAAGATGAATAGAGCCTCTTTTTTTCAAAATTGATTTTGATCTTCTTACCATGCTCAGACAATCATTTAAAATCTTTATTTACAATATTGACACAATAAATAATATTATTATAAATATAATCACAAATGTTAAGTAATGTCGAAATAATATACATGAAATTCTCTGAATCATATATCCCTAATTTTGAAATTATCATCCAAGATAAGAGCATCATATCTGCTCCGAATTATATCTCAAATTTTGTGGGTGGCCTAGCTCATGGGATTTAACCTGCAAATACTAATTTTCTCAATTACATAACTGATCAAATTATAAAATTTAATAATAAAATGAACTTAGGTATCGTTCTTAGGCTCTATGGCCTATCTCACAGTTATCCTCTTTTTTTTTTGTAGGCTCCTTAGTCCCAACCTCTGCTTCTGTCGATGATCTACCCTGTTGTGGCTGGACAAGAGGTGGGTAATAGTACGAATGGTGGTAAGAAGGATAAGGGTAGGTTAACAAAATTGCTTGTGATGTTGTTGGTCGGTAATATGGATAGAAAGGAGTTGACTATGCGAATATGGAGATATAAATCTAGGATTAGTGGAACTACCGGTGGAACTATCTGTCCATAACCCTGCTCAGTGGGGGAATGATGCTGAGTCCCTAGTAATAGCACTCTTGTCACTGGTGGAACTGTATGCCCCTTATGATGCACAGACACAGACATGACGATACAAATACGACACAAACACGATGCATGTTAATTATTGAAAATATAGGATACGGACACAGTATTATAATTTTAATATTTAAAAAATAGTGTATAAAAATTGAATAAGTATAATATTAAAAATAATTTTAAAATAATAAGTCATTGAACTAGAATTTGTGCTGAAAATGATTATTAAGATGTCGAGAGTTGGGCTTTGATGCAGTGTATCAGGCATCGAGAGAGGAGACGATAATGCTATTGAGAGTCGGACATCAATGCTATATAGTAAATATCAGACGACAATGTCAAGTGGGTGTCTATCGTTGATGTTGAGAGGGTGTTGGTCGTCAATGTTAAAAAGACGTCGGACAAAGATGAGTTGTCAAGTTGTGGGTGTTGAAATTGCTAGCGTCGAGCATCAATGTCAAGACAATGTCAGACTTTGATGTGGAGATAATTTTAAAATGTTGATGTTATAGTGACGTCAGATGTTGATGTTGAGATTCATCGGGCATTGTTGTTAAACTAAAGTTGTAACTTGCCAAAGAGAAATGAAAATGAAAATATTCGATGAATGGGTATTGAGTGTGAGCGATTGATTTGACGTTGTGGATAGAAAATAAGAAATTTAATTTTTATATTTTAAATAAATAAAAAAATTAAATACAAAAATTATATTTAAATTAATTCATAAAATATTTAAGATCATGTGTTCAATTTGTATTTAATATATTTTTTTAATAGGACACATTTTTTAGCATGTCTGACACGTATCGGAGGAGTATTGGACGCCTCTCATGT